TCAATACGGAAGTGTAAGTGGCCTGCAAATTAAGGTTATTATGATAATGAAATTAATGCAAAGGTGCAAGCGAGCTGGAAAAGAATGATGAAAATAATCGCTGTAGAAGAAGAACAAGGGGACAAACACAAATCTCAACACAGCTAGGGGAAATAGCTGTGTTGGGAGATATGTGTCTGTCCTTTGCCCCCCATGTTCTTCTTCTGCAGGGAATATTTTCATAACGGATGTTTTTCTGATTCATGAGATTAAATTAATAATACAACATTTAGATTTTTAATGAACACACACGAAGAAAGAGAGAGAAGTATCCTTCCACTAGCATAAGGCAGCCGATATACGAATGCCTCTTTAATTGGAGTGATTATCCAAAATGCGTGCCTACGAAAATTCTAAGGGCCCTGTCACACCGAGGCAACCCGACAGCAACACAGTATGTTGTCCAGGAATCGTGCAACTTGTTGCTCACTTCCCATGTAGTTCGACAACCCTGCAACATGATGTGTCACATGTCACATGTCTGTCACATGATGTGTGGATGATGTGACAGGGTTGTCACCGACAACCCTGTCACATCATCCATGCACAACATGGATGACAACGAAAAAGTTACCTTGGTATGACAGCTTTCGGCAACAAAAACGCAAGCAACTTGTGCTGGACAACGTGTGCTGCTTTAAGACAGAGCTAGTTTTCTATTAACGTCCTTTTCTGATGAGCTTACTGAAATAAAGGCTCGGAAAACGTTATTCAACAATACTTAAGGCTGACGTGCAGCAAAAATAATTTTATGAATGTTTTTACTGCATAATTATGGCAAGTGCTTGTCGAAATGGTCACAGCTACGGTCGTGAACGTTCAGAGTGGTGTTGAAATTTGAACTACCGAGATACCACCTCACATTACTGCTAGTGAAATAAAATGGCATGTCTATACTCGCCTGCTGATAAAGTATTATTAAAATAAGGCTAGAAAGCAAAGGTAAAAAAATAAAAGCATTAAAACGACCGCTATGATAATGCTTCTTGATTTCATTTCATTTCATTTAATTTATTATACCCTGAAGGCGCCCATAGGGTCCTACATAAAGGGCGGAAGTACAACATTATTCAGAACACAAACAGAAAAGAAATAAATTAAGAAAACAGGTGTTACGGTTGGTATGCGTTTAAAGGGGCCATGGAACGAATTTTGGGTTTTGATGAATGATTTTAAATTCGGACTTTACTAATCGCATATCGTTTAGTTGGCCAAAAGAAAGAGGGTAGAAAGTCAAAAGCCAGCTTTTCGGTAAGAACATTTGAATATATAGCGGACTATTTTGTGCCTTCTTGCCTTCTAAAGCTCTCCGCCTTTTCACTATGATACATCCGCGGTTCCAAAAGCGCGTCACCGGCGCCAAGCTGACGTCAGCAGAGCCCAGCTCTCGCATTGGACACGAGAACTGCGTCACTCGGACGTATGCGCTCGTCAACAATCAATCCGTCGATGAATATTTGGATTCGCCTTCGTGGCCAATGAGTGCTCTGCCGGAACTTATTGTCACTGGGGAATGAGAAGTTCTCTGGTGTGCAAAAAAAAGCACGGTGGAACCTAGAAGTCATCGAACCGGTGCCGAAGGAATGTCACGACCACGCGATTTCACAATTCGCATTTGAGTTGAGGATTAAAGCTACGGAGGAAGAAGTAGGAAAATCGTTTCAGGACCCCTTTAAGTAAGGAGCAAGAAAAGCCCTGAAACCAGAGGATTCTTGGATGATTACAATATTATCAAAAAGGGAGTTGCATTCGTATGTAGTCAACTGTAATGGGGATAATTTAAAAAAAAGGTTTGTTCGTGGAGTGCCCAAATGAAGTTTTTGGAAATTTTCAGTACGCGTGGAAATATTTGGTGCAGCCCGGCAATACAGTTCTCTCTTCGATGGGCAGTGGTAGTACAAAGTATGCAATGATGCAAGTCTTGAGATTTTATTCTTGTGTGCAAGAGTTGGTAGTCCCAGTTTTTTCTTTAGTGAGGTGATGGTTGCGCACGTGCAGTTTTCAAGAATGAAGCGTGTAGCTCTATTTTGCACTAATTCTAGTTTTTGTGCCAAATAAAACTGATGTGGTTCTTATATTAAAGAAGCGTAATCAAGTTCAGATCAAATGAGGGCAGTATATGCTACAAGCTTTCTTTCCCAGTTGGCCATGTGAGATTTACCACCGAATTCAGAAACCTCACTCAAACTACACTCAAACTGAAGGCCCGTCCACATCACCGAGGAAGGCACGAGGCCCGGCGCTTGCCAATCGCGAGGACGGATCCGCCGTAGCGATTGGCCAGCGCCGGCCCTCGCGCCTTCCTCGGGGAAGTGGAGTGGCCCTTCAGTTTGAGTATAGTTTGAGTGAGGTTTCTGAATTCGGCGGTTAGACTTAGAAAACCGAGGTTTTGACTTGCCTTTACACTTATGTGATTGATGTACGTGGGCTTTTCAAGACAAGTTTGATGTGAAATGAACACCAAGATATTTATATGTATGCACAAGTTCAAGAACCCAATCGAAGAGAGTGTGTGTTAAACTCTGCTGGATTTCGCTTAGTATTAAAATTTTGACATTTTGTTTTTGGAAATATTTATCTTCATTTGCCACATTAGACACCATGTATTAATTGTAATTAAGTCGTTCTGAAATTCAATACAATCACGAATGCTAGATGGTTTTCTATAGATCACACAATCATCCTCATAAAAACGGATGGTGGACTGGATAGTAGCGGACAAGTCGTTTACGTACAAAAAGAAAAGTGGTGGGCGCAGCACGGTTCTCTGTGGTACTGCTGATTTTACTTTTCGATGACATGAGGATTCGCGTTCATAGCAGACACTTTGCGAGCGGTCGACGAGGAGGTTCAATAACACTTTATGACAGATGGTTCTGTTTGCAAAGCGCGTAATTTAAGAAAAAGTCGTTGATGTAGTACCTAGTCAAATGCTTTTTTTAAAGTCCATAAAACTGCATTGGTTTCTGTTTTAGAGTGAAGGTTCTAATGAAGGTCCGTGACAAATTCAAAGAGCTGGGTTTCGCAAGAATGATACCGCCGGAAACCATACTGGTTTACAAAGAGCAAGTTGTCCGACAAATGATCCATAATATTCCTGAAAATTACATGCCCCAGCAGCTTACTAGGTACACTTGTCAGAGAGATTGGTCTATAATTCGTCAACTCATTCCTTCGATCGGTCTTAAAAAGTGGGATGACATTTGCTTCTTTTTAATTTGCAGGAATTTTACCAGTACGTAAGGATTGTTGTAAAAATAAACACAGAAGAGGATTAAGCTTCTTATTTGGAGAGCCCTTTCGTTGAAATAATATAATGTACTGGAGCTGAACTTGGTCGAAGATTTTCTATTAGTTTGTGAATACCAGTCGCACACATAGTAATTAGAACCATATGAGTTAATATACTATCACCAGGTAAAGAAGCTGCCAAGGGAAAGGTCTCATCAGAAAACACTTCACTAAAGAAATGGCGAAATCGTTGACACACTTCAACAAACCGGCTCGTTTCCCGAAAAATCAGTCAAGCGAAAGGGGTTGGAAATGCGCTTGGGGCTAAGTGCATTCCAAATTATTTCGAGTTAGTTTTTATAAGGCCGCGTAGGCCTCCAATAAAGATCTAATTTTTCGGTTTTTTTATTTCCTATACACACATTTGGGAAATTTCGACGGACCTTGCAAATGCAATCAAAGGACGCGATATTTTAGCCTGCTTGCTTGGCACTAGGACACAGCCGTTACCAGACACCTGAATTGATTGTAAAATCCCCAGGACGTCTTGGGGAATGAAGCAATCACATAGCAGCCGGAAGCAAGTATACAGCGTGGAGCAATATTTATTTCACCTATTGTTATGAAGGCCGATCGTGTCGGTGTCGCAGTTTTTAAGCACTGTCAGTTCAGCTCAACGCCATGCCACAAAAAACGCTTTAGGAAACTGCAGGTGCTAACTCAATTTTGCTATAGAACTAGGAATTGCATGAAAGAAATATCGGCAATTTCATTTTCCTCGTATAGGGCTATATCGTTGTCACCGAATGAAGGAACATCTTCGTAAAATAAAGGGTGGAAAATCCCCCCCCCCCCCGTGTCAAGGTTTCTAACCACAGTCACTAGCTGATGTCGTCCCGTGGCAATTTCCGGCCCTTCGAATGTTCTAGCACATTGAAGAGTCGCATTTCCAGCGACGCGTCGCCACACACAAACGAAGGTAAACAATCAAGATGGCGGAGTGTTGCAAGCGTTAGGCCCGCCGTCAGCGTGGTGTGATAGGGTGGTCGGACAACAAATCGGCCAACGCGGATTCCGGGCGACAGCGACATGTTGCCCTGCTGTTCTTGTTGCCGCGATGTGAAAGGGTCACCGAAAACGCGTCTTTCTCGTGTTGCCGAATAGAGTTGTCCGACTGCTGCCTGAGTGTAACCGGGCCTTAAGGGCGTCAAATGAATCAACGTTGTAATGTTTCTTTCGGTTCAGTTCGTTTACAAAAACAACCAAAGGACTTACTAGGCCTATAAAAAGAAAAATGATTTGTAACGTTAAATGGATTTAGCTACCTTTTGGTAGACTTTTTGATGTTTCTTAAAGTCGATATACGACCATCATTTGTTTATATTGACAATAACAGCACAACACAATACTACGCATTTTCGTTGTGAACTTGCAGCTTCGTTGCCTCTCCAATGACAGGTGAGCAGCAAGTTCCTTTCAACTATCGCTGACAGCTTAAGGAACGTGGTGCGTATTGTGGTAACGCTTTTAGCGTCGTCATTCGGTTGGTGGATTCAGCTAGCTTTTAAGTGAACTACGATTTAAGTAACTACGATTGGAAGTAACATCCCTGTCAACTGACAAACGATACATTCAAAATAAGGGTGAAATAATAGCATAGGAAATGTTACGGGTCAAAACAAGAGTAAAGGTTCGATGATGCCAGTGCCTAGCAAAGTTCAAGCAAATACTTACTTCAAAACAAATTGCATCTGCACCTCACTGCAATTCGAAAACGCGAAAGGGGGTCCACGATGCCCTACAGCTTCCATAATGTATTTCTCTTTGTACTTGCAGTCAACAGCACCAGGATGATTCGGGATATATTCCAAGGGACCACTTCCATCGTGCGTGCACCCGAGCCTGCGAAAATATTGTTCATCGTAAAAAAAAATCTAATATTCAACACTATAATCAGGGACAAATTAACAAACGCAAAGCAAGGCTCATTATGGTCACGCTTCTTATCGGCCCATATCACGTTGTCCGCAGCGATGATAAAAGCCAATGGATTCATTAACGGTTACAAAAAAAGCTTTTCCCGGGTGATACGCTGAGCATATGCGTTTATAAAGGAAGTGACAAGATACTTACAAATGCCCAATTTCGTGGGCTATTGTGGTGAATCCATGGTAAAGAGGGGGTGCGCCCACGGAAATTCCAACATTCCAGCCTTTCACACAGACCAATCCGGGACTGGCGAGACCTATGAATAATAATACATCTGTTGCTTGCCAAATACATTCCATAACGTTTTTTTAACCTGTAAGAATAAGCTGCGATGTGAAATCCCCCTGTCTTGAAAAACAGGTATTTAGAATTATGAGACGTTCAGCCACTTAAAAATAAAATTTAGCCGAGGCGTGACCGCGGCGTGACCGAATGCCAAGGATACAAACCGTATCTAGAGGTTGGGCGGTGTGCTTAGAGGGAAAATTTGTTTTCAGAGAGATACAAGCAAAACATACACGCAAACAAACATCTAGAGTTACTTTTTTCAGCGCAAGGCTAAGTTACGAATAACTAAACGCTCAGTCTTCGGCCAAATGTAGCGCTTTGTGCTCAAACCTGATGCCAAAGTTTCAGAACTTGCTGACTCAATGGTTATGAACAGTTTTAGGAAATTCAGAATAAGACGAGGGCAGTTGACGAGGTCCAGCAACGCATGAAAATGAGTGACGTCGGCTACCAAAAAGAGGACTCATTTTGCCAGTGTAAAATAAAAAAAAAAATTGCTTCTAGCTTATGAGTTTGCAAACAGCGAGTTTTAAAACTTTGGCACCAGGTTGTACGGTTAGAGCTCCGTTTAAAGGGCACTAAGCGTTGGGCAATGCGTAGGCTGTCTTGTCATGAAAAACACTATTTTTTGCGAACACGCGTACACTTGCGGCCTTACAATTTTACGTAGAATAAAAATGTACAATCATAATTTGTTGAGTCTCGCGTTTTGTGTTGCAGAAATCTCACCACGAATATAAGTGAAATTTTCAAGAGATATTCCTTGCTTGTGATTTTTATGATCATCATCTGACGACAACTCTTGCCGTCAAATTTTATTTGCGAACTAAGTGGCCAAAGCATGCTTTAAGAACATTTTGAACTTGGCTTTCTCCAAATGCTTCAAAGCATACAATGTTAATTTTGTTTAGTAAAGGCCATCTTCCGTGATAACGGCCACCAACTTACAAATCACACTCAGTAATTCGTGTTACCAACTAGCAGAAACGGCGTATATCATTCGTTATTCGTTAGACACCTCTCAGAAATAACTGGTTACACTCCGATGTCATCAAGATTCAGCACTAATGTGTGGTCCGGAGCATCTTGTGACCCCGCTCTCTTACCTTGAAGACCAGGAGATACTTTGATAGTCTTCTCGTTACGTCTCCCTAAGCGGCGCCTGAAATGCAATTATGAAAATACTAATTATGCGCATTCCTGCTGCTATGAACATTAGTCACGTGAAACGGTGTATGTTCGTATAGTTTGTGCTTTTTAGGCTTTATATTTCCTTTCTTAAGAAAGTCATGAAAGCTACACATATCAAGTCTCGGCAGGTGGGTTACACGGCGATGGAGACGTAACAGAGGAGCTGTCACGATAAGTAATAAATGAACGTTCTAGTTTGTAAGAAAAAACATACCATTCTAACTAGAACGTAGTTGAGCGTCGTCAAAAAGCACTAAACTAGTCGATTTCAGAAAATTTTAGAACATTTGGGAAGGGTTATGTCCCGCTGACGTTACCACCCGTGAAATCGGTGCACGGTTGGTGATGCAAAAACTCAGATGAGAATATAATCGTCTGCGTTTACTTATCACCTGCCCTGCCAATCTAAAAAAAAATTCGATTTTGTATGTTATATTTACCCGCGGCCCTTACCACGCCTTTCTCTAGGCCATCGCTTTGAACAAAACGTAGAGATAGAGAAAATGATTGTGCATCAAGAAAAGCATAAGCTTTTTTGTATTTAGAACCTTAACATACTGCAATAAATACTAAATATCCCCTAAACTCACTTACCATACATAAACAATCGAGAAAATCGAAGACTTCTCTTGACCTTCGCAAAAGAAATATTGCCGCGCGCGCAGCTGGCCAAGTAGGCAGCGCGCGCGTGGCCTAACGGCTATCGCGCTTGCCTCGCACGCAGAAGGCCAGGTTTCGATTCCTGGCAGCGGCTACACATTTTTGTTGACAGTGTAATTTGATGTTCTGGTGAATTCGAGAACCGTCTTGTTGATTCGCGGTTAGAATGTTCTACGCGCCGAACCTTCTACGCCGAACGATCCAGAAACCCACGGGGTACATAAGGGATTCCGCCAGGCGAGCGCATTCAGTCTCGCCCCAGCGTTCGACTCTGCTGCCACGCCGACTTCGACGCCCGCGACGCTCTATTATTATCTTTTGTACCCTTTTATTTTTGGCACAAGTTCGCCACATTAATCATTTATTTCTTCCTGTTCATGTATTGTTTTTGGTCACCACCCGTGACATATTGGTGGAGGTGCGGGGTAACGCATGCCCGTGCAGCGTTCCCCTCCGAGGGTTCGCAGTGCAAGTCCGACGCCAAGCCCACGAAGAACCGACGAAGGCACTACCGAGATCCGGTTCAGTCGTCGCACCCAAGGCCTACACCCGGAATTCGGAGTTCTGCCGCCCAGGACCAAGCAGCCAACGAAGCCGACGATGGCCGACGAGTCGCCGACCCCCGCCGCTCCTCCCGTCGTCTACCTGCCCGCCGCTCCCCGTACGCCGACTCCCTTCTACGGCGAGATCCATGAGGATGTCGAAGACTGGATCAAGCACTACGAGCGTGTGGCGCGGCACAACGGATGGACTGCGGAGCAGTGCCTAGAGGACCTCTACTTTTCGCTGGAAGGTACTGCGAGGCATTGGTTCGAGAATCACGAGGCTTCGCTTACGTCGTGGGAGATCTGTGTGGCCGAGTTGCAGCGGACGTTCGCCACCCTACACCGACGGGAGAAGGCAGAAGATCTCCTCCGAATTCGAACGCAGGGCCCCGACGAAAGCATCACAAGCTTCGTAGAAGATGTCCTCCGCCTGAGCGCCCGTGCCGACCCACGAGCCACAGACGACAAGAAGCTGCGGGTCCTCATGCGCGGGGTGAGAGACGACATCTTTGGAGGCCTCGTGCGCAACCCGCCGGTCACCACCAAAGCCTTCGTCACCGAGGCGACAAACATCGAGCGCGCCCTCCAAGCGCGCGCTTCCCACTACCAGCGACATCCAAGTGTCGCTGCAACCGCGCTGCTTGGCGGCGAGAACGCTCCTGGTTCGGACATCCGCGAAATCATCCGGGAGGTTGTCCGGGAGGAACTGCGAAGGTTGCTGCCAACCACCAGCCGTCCGCCAACCATTTCCATCACCGAGGCTGTCCGAGAAGAAGTGCATCGAGCGCTCCAACCAGAGGTTCCCGTCACCAGGGTGGCACCGGAGGAACCGACGTTGAGCTACGCCGCCATGGCCCGACGACCGCCGCAAACTTCCCGCCAAGCCACGGCGCCACCCCGAAGAGACGCCCCAACGCCGCAGTACCCCCGACGTCACTCTCCTGCGCCGCAGCACGAACGACGCCGCGACGACCAGCTCCAGTACGCCAGTCAGGAGCCCCGTGCACCCCGGAAGACCGATGTGTGGCGAACGCCCGACCGACGCCCTCTGTGCTTCCACTGCGGGGAAGCAGACCACACCTACCGCCGATGCCCATACCGTCGACTCGGGCTGCGCGGGTTACACCCGAACGACCCGCGACCCCGATATGGTGAACGCCCTCGGGAGATCGACGAGTACCTGCGACGACCTCAGTCCCCCGAGCCTACGTCCCGCCGAGAGTTCCGGTCGCCGTCGCCACGACGTCCAGCTTCGCCGATGCACCGACCCCGACGTGAAAGCCTGTCGCCCCTCGCTCCTCGCCGGGGAAACTAGGCGCGGCAACCCCTGGAGGTGGAGTTGCCGAAGACGACCGACGCCAAGATCCTCCACGAACGTCGGAGGGCCCCCACTCGAACGCTACCAGAGATCAAAAGCACGCCCCTGCAACGGTGTCCAATAACCTAAACGTCATCATCGACGGCCACGACGCATCAGCGCTCGTGGACACCGGAGCAGACTACTCAGCCTTGAGTGGGAGGCTCTCCCGTCGCCTGCGAAAAGTGACAACGCCGTGGGAGGGCCCTCAAATACGAACCGCCGGTGGGCACCTCATCACACCACTCGGGCGATGCACCGCTCGCGTCGAGATCCACGGTAAGACGTGCCCTGTAAAGTTCGTCGTTCTGCAAGACTGTTCGAGGGACGTTATCCTCGGAATGGACTTCCTCTACGAGTATGGCGCCGTCATCGACCTCGGAGCAAACCGGTTGACGCTGCGAAAGCCTGTTTCGCCACCGGAGGAACCCAAAGCGACGTCATCTGCGGTCCGAGTCCTCGCCAGCCACGTGAACTTACCGCCCCGGTCGAGTGTTTTCGTACCCGTCGGGATCACCGAAGATTTCTGCGGCGAAGTTCTGCTCGAAGGAAGCCTCCAGTTGCTTCTGGGAAGAGGAATAGGCGTCGCAAGAGGCGTTGCTGAACTTCAGGATGGCCGCACTGTGGTCCTCGTCACGAACTTCCGAAATGAAGCGCAACACCTCACAAAAGGTGCAGCCGTGGGACAGGTCGAGGAACTCCAAAACTCCGCCGCAGTCGCCGCCATTACTGACGAATTCTCGCCACCTCAGCAAGACAGTGCGTCGCCAGCACAGCTCGACATTGACCCTAAACTCCCGGGCACGAAACGACGACAGTTGATTAACCTTCTCGCCGAATACCGCGACCGCTTTGCCACGTCGTCGAAGGTGCGCCAAACCACCGTTGCGAAGCACCGCATCGTTACCGAGGACGACGCGCGCCCTGTGCATCGATCGCCATACAGAGTCTCCGTTAAAGAAAGGCAGGCGATCCAGGAGCAAGTGCAAGAAATGCTGAACGACGACATAATTCAACCTTCAAGCAGTCCTTGGGCCTCTCCAGTCGTACTGGTTAAGGAGAAAGACGGGACGCTTAGGTTCTGTGTAGACTACCGGCAGCTGAACACGGTGACGAAGAAAGACGTCTACCCACTCCCCCGCATCGACGACACTCTAGACCGGCTGCGGCACTCTCGATATTTCTCATCGATGGATCTGAATTGCGGCTACTGGCAGATCGAAGTCGACGAAAGGGACCGAGAAAAGACAGCCTTCGTCACGCCGGATGGACTGTACGAGTTCAAAGTGATGCCCTTCGGACTGTGCACGGCGCCAGCAACTTTCCAACGTGTCATGGACACCGTACTGGCAGGACTGAAGTGGCAGAGCTGTCTCGTCTACCTCGACGACGTCGTCGTGTTTTCCAGCGACTTCGACGAGCACTTGCGACGACTCCGAGCAGTTCTCCAAGCCATACGGACCGCCGGGCTCACCCTGAAGCCGTCAAAGTGTCGGTTCGCTTATGACGAACTGAAGTTCCTCGGCCATGTGGTTAGTAACGAAGGTGTCCGCCCAAACCCCGAGAAGACTCGTGCCGTCGCAGCATTTCCAGCGCCAAGAGACAAGAAGGCCGTCCGAAGGTTCCTTGGGCTATGTGCCTACTATCGGCGCTTCGTTCGAGATTTCGCAAGAATTTCCGCACCGCTCACACACCTCACGAAGGACGCCGAGAAGTTCGAATGGGCCGATGAACAGCAGCAGGCATTTGACGAGCTGAAGCGACGACTGCAGACTCCTCCTGTCCTTGGACATTTCGACCAGGATGCGGAAACCGAGATTCACACGGACGCAAGTAACGCAGGGCTTGGCGCGGTTTTGGTTCAAGTACAACAAGGCACCGAGCGAGTCATCGCCTATGCAAGTCGGACATTGACCAAGGCGGAGAGAAATTACTCCACGACTGAGAAAGAATGCCTTGCGGTCGTCTGGGCAATCACGAAGTTTCGTCCGTACTTATACGGGAGCCCGTTCCGGGTAGTCACGGACCACCACTCGCTCTCCTGGCTTGCGAACCACAAGGACCCGTCAGGACGCCTCGCGCGGTGGAGTCTCCGACTACAAGAGTTCAACATGACCGTCGTCTACAAGTCAGGCCACAAGCACAGCGACGCCGACTGCCTGTCCAGAGCTCCCGTCGCAACACCTTCCGGCAGCAGCGACGACGATGACGACGAGTATTTTCTGGGCGCAGTGAACATCGACGACATGGCCCGGCGTCAACGAGACGATCCTGAGCTGCGCGCACTAATAGAGCACCTGGAAGGGCGCGGGAGTGCCATGCCACGTGTTTTTTCACGAGCGCTGCCAACCTTCGCCATTAGACAAGGTGTACTCTACAAAGAGAACTTCGGGAACAACAACTCGCCAT